GTAAAGCCACGTATTGGTTGAAACGGCATATTCTAAAGTCCCTACTATTCTGTGATTATCAAAGTTTCTGAAAAATATCTCACTATCGAGGGATAGAAAATGATATTTATAGAATCACTACTACATGTCATTATATGACAGCTCTTATGGCAGCAATTTAAAAAACGTCCTTGAAACAGGTAAAATCCAAAGATTTGGGAGACAAAATATCACCTTGGTCCCATTTTGAAAGTAAAATAAATGGATTTTAAATAGATATTCTGCCCGGAAATTAGGTAATAATAAATAAAGTCAAACAAAATGTTGAGTTTTAAGACAGTTTCTTAGTTAAAATTTTTACTTATAAAATAAAAAAAAAAAAAAAAAGAAAAATATATTGACCAAGTCATTTTATTTATTTGTCATTTTATGAACAGAACTTAAAGTAATAATTTATTTTATTGTTATTAAATTTTATTTTATTGAATAAAAAAAGCGTCAAATAGATGATATCATCATTTAAAGAAATACATTAATTTGAAATGAGGAATATTCCATTAGAATTTAACTGTGTGTAAAATAATATGCTATGGTGCAATGCCTCAACTATGAAGTACCATTACTGATATTAACTAAATATAATAAAATTTTAAAGAACCAACTTTTCTCCTTATATTTAGTTAAAATCACTGTAGGTAATTTATTTCTTTTTTTTTATTAGTGTTTATTATTTGGCCTCTGCCTGTATAAGGTGGGGATTGTTAACTCTTAGATAGTTGTGCTGGATAAGTACAATGCAAGAATTATAATTGAACGCAAACCACATTACTTGTAATTACATTTATTTTTGCGATATTATTAAAAGAAGAAGAGTTGTCTGACGAGACACAGTTCCAAGAAGCGTCAGTAGTTTGTCAACAACTCTTGAATTCCTTTGTAATAAATTTTGCAATAGTGTCCAAAATAATGTCGCATTTGGGTGTCCCACAGCTTCAGGGCTAAAAGAAAATCTCAATTTTTCAGTTGGGAAGAGTTGTTATTTGTCATATTGAAGAAGATTACGTGAGAAGAACTATATAGCATAGGTTATGCACAAAGCTCTTTTTTCTCTGATTTCATCTATGGAAATACACTACACAAGTTAAAGTGAATATACAGGATGTCTGAATATTAAAACTGGTCATAGATTCTAAAACAAGAGACTCGTATTTTGATTTTGATCTAGTGGTTCTCCCTTTTCGGATTATAGCCCC